AGACTGAATGGAGGTAATTTTACACGCAAAGCTAAAGAAATGGCCTTTTCTACTAATTAGCACTACTTTGTTAGTTTTCTTGAGCAAGATGTAAAGAGCATATGTTATTACCTTACTGGTACTATTACTGCAAGTACGTACGTCTGAATATGAATGGTTTCGATCGGTTGACACTGGTACTTCTTAGAGTAACATGGTAAGAGTTTTATCTCCAGATTGTTTTTTTCCCTTCCATATTGTTTTTGGCCTGTGCTTTTAGTGCACAGTAGATACCATATTTCCTGGAATAATAGCTGGGAAGATTTTCTTTTTCTTTTTTTTCACACCAATAGGAGGCGATTATTTTAAAATATTGCTCACTGGAAGTGGAGCCCTAAATATTCTGTTTTATTATCCCATTAAGTGAAAAAATAATCACATCAAATATACTGAATGAACATGGGCTTTCAAAGTATTGAAAATTTGGTTACTTGCTTAATTTTTAATGTCAATAATCTAATTCAAACCTTGAAATGGTTAAACCTTGTTTTGTTGCTAAAGTTACCTTCAAGTGACACATTGCCGATGTTTCTCGGAGAAGGTAAGTTTGACTTGAGGTGACCTCCTTCTAAGAAAAGACAGGATTTCTGGCCAATAATTGTTTCCAAATAATTCTGACAATCTTCTTAACTGTGCCATTTCGAAGTCGCAAGCAACGATTCAGACCGGTGTGCTTCAATGCTGGGAATTTTATACAACACATCAATAATTCTTGGTAGGTTTTCCAGCATCAACCCCGGAAAACCAACCAATCGATCATTTTGAAAATCAATCAATCTTTACTTAAACACTGAATCCCATTATAAAAATGCTCTTCCAGAGAGCCGTGCAATAACCATGCAATAAAACAGCATTAGATAAATGTAGTTATTTATATGGTATTAAATTACAAATGTGAGATGAATGATTTCAAGCTTGTTTGTCCTTTAACAGTGTTTGCATGATAGACTATTCCGGAGAACCGCCCTTCCATATTGGAAGCTGTTTTTCCAGCCTCGTTGTAGGGTCTTAAGACAAATAAATTATGTTTTGAGTTTCTTAGATTTCAGGACTACATAATGTTTGTCCTATTGAAAACTTGAGCCAGATGATCTGGTGCAATGTTATTTTTAATTTATACATTATTGTGGCTAATTTCCTTGTCCTTCGTGCCCCATGAAGGTTATCCCACCCGAGTTCATCCAGTACCTCAATTGATCATCTATCATTACTAGAGGAGGTTACCACCCTGGCAGCTCTGTTTCGGAGGGTCTGAAGTCTGTTACACATCCCCTTCCCACAGCTCCCCTCGCTATACTACAATAATTGAAATACGGTAGTACAATGGAGTTGTACATCATAATTAATGTATAATAAGGTATTGGATGCCCTACATGTCTCAGAACTCCAATCCCTCAGGGAAACGTTCTTAGCAATTCTGTCTACATGATTTGTCCTCGTTAATGATTCATCTATTTCAACACCAAGATATTTATACGTCTCATCCCTAATAAGGGTTTTATAATCGAAATGAATATTAACTGGTACTCAAGGTGTTTTTATCCGATATTGACTTGCTAGAATCATATATTTTGTCTTTATCACATTTGTCATGTTTACCCATTACCATTCTGCCTGTGATGTCTAAGATATTCGAACGACATTTTCATTTTTTTTTTCATTTTTTTTTTCATTTTGTTTTTGGCCTGTGCTTTTAGTGCACAGTAGATACCATATTTCCTCGAATAATAGCTGGGACGATTTTCTTTTTCTTTTTTTTCACACCAATAGGAGGCGATTATTGTAAAATATTGCTCACTGGAAGTGGAGCCCTAAATATTCTGTTTTATTATCCCATTAAGTGAAAAAATAATCACATCAAATATACTGAATGATCATGGGCTTTCAAAGTATTGAAAATTTGGTTACTTGCTTAATTTTTAACGTCAATAATCTAATTCAAACCTTGAAATGGTTAAACCTTGTTTTGTTGCTAAAGTTACCTTCAAGTGACACATTGCCGATGTTTCTTGGAGACGGCGAATTTGACTTGAGGTGACCTCCTTCTAAGAAAAGACAGGATTTCTGGCCAATAATTGTTTCCAAATAATTCTGACAATCTTTTTAACTGTGCTATTTCGAAGTCGCAAGCAACGTTTCAGGCCGGTGTGCTTCAATGCTAGGAATTTTTCAGGATTTAATTATTGACCAGAAATCCTGTCTATTCCAACAAGGAGGCCACCTCAATCCAAATTGGCCTCCTCCGGACCCAATCTCGCCTCATTCCTGCCCACCCGTCATCATTCAACGACATCTATCCGCATTTATGAATGCCGCCCCAGCTGGCAACTCTAGGCCACACAGCTTAACTTGACTTAAATCAAGCAAAAATCTTGTAAAGCAACTCAGCTTTTACCCATAAGCCTTCCAAGGAGACTCTCTCCTTGGTTCTTGACTAGCAAAGAAACATTCAAGTCCATCAAAAAGACACTCTCAATTTGACCATACACTCTGGCTGCTTTAAGGCTGTACATGACAGAGGCAGCGTTAGACTTAAGCAAGCTCTGAGCAAAGCAGAGCACGTGAGTGAGGGGAATCCTTTATTAGGCAATCGGCCAAAAAAAATTTAGAGGGTGGCATGACAAACCTTAAGTTGAGAAATGATCAATGAATTGACTCTCCAGAGAGACTAACGGACCATATGGCGCTTTTGCAGCACGCCCCCTCCTAGAAATTGGCATGGAGACCCCTTTCGTACCCATGGCAAATTAGCATAGGGACTGAGCTTGACGATGAAACATATCAGGACAGCAAGCCCCCTATGCAAATTCTCACCGCAGGCACCCGAAACCGCAGGCACCAGGTTCCTGTGCGAATATTCTGGGCTTTTGAGGTACCTTTTTTAAAGAAATTCCGCTAGATATATATCATGTGCGTGTGTGTGTTTGAATCAGGGACGCAAACAACTAACTCAGACAGTTGCCACTGAAGTTACATTTATTAACGTTTATAGTGACATCGCATTTGGAAACATAATGACTTCCTCAGCTGTGAACTCGCGCGGCCCTCAGTGACTTATTGGAGAAGATAATATACCAGGCAAAGCCGACCCAGTCCAGTACTCTAGTAGCTCAGTTGGGGAGCTTGTGAAGAAAGGCTCCTTCCCGTTCTGTACCAGGCGAACCAGTTTTTTGACGAGCCAGCTGCGGTTCCATTCAGAGTTCGCCCAATATGTCAACTGAAGCGGGTAGCTAAGTTTACGATACAGCTGTTCGTTCAAGATGTGAACTGAGGCGTGAACTCCGTCGACAATTACGTGATGGTTTTCTGTCAGTGGATGACGCACAGCGCCAAAGTAAGTCATCACATCTAAAGGAAAATTCAAGAAAAAAAGCTTCACCGTTAAAAGACTATGAGAACGTGAGTTACCCTTGCTAGAATCTGGTTAAACTCACAGGACACTGATCACAGTCAAATATCAACTTCTCAATTCTTGGGTTTGCTTCACCCACCTGTAACCTTAGTGGGAACCAGCTTTCCATTATTCATAATCCAAATGGTATCATCTTCTTTCACATCCATAGCCATGATTGGAACTTTAAGAGGCGCATTTTTGGTTGACTGGCCGTTTTTTGTTGCGTAAATGAGATGACGTGCACTGATGCCAATAGACTGGGTCGCGTTGGAATGATCTCTATACACGATGCGAAGAAGTTGGGCGCGAGCGTCTTGCTGCTCATGCTCAATGTAGTAGACTTTGCTGTAAACCCGCTGTCCGGTTTGCTCGTCTACCGACTCAACCATGTCGCCAAGGCTGATAGAGTGTAGTGGCTTGGACACAACACTACCCGTTTTCATCTTGAGATTCACGAGTGATTCTGCTGAAAAACATCCTCCGCTTCTACCGACCGCTCGAACTACTGAGGCCCCTGATGAGACAGATCTGTTGATAGATAGGGTACGAAGATAGGTTAATTTCATGGCAAGGGACAACTCTAATTCACGTATGAAAGATACAAGAAGCACGGCGTGTTAAATCAATGACACTTGATAATAAGAAATCCATTTAATGAATCTTTATCAATCTATAAAATTAGTTAATCCAAATCGATTGATATGATTGATATGATCAATCGATAATGAATAATCGCAAAAAATGTTTCGCAGCAGAATTACACATATTATCAATTTTTGCGTGCTTTATTGGACCTCGTGTTACAAAATCACGAACAAAATGTCTGGTTAAAACACGCCGCATCGACAGTGGGAAATTGCCCTTGTGATATCCGATGTCGTTGTAAAAGCGCGGATCCACACTAGTTTCCACCGTTTGATACTTTTTAATAATAACAATAAAAAACACTTTCTATGTTGAAATCGAGCGAAGAAATTATCCGCCAATTTAAAGGGCTTCATCCGAGGAACTGGTCAATATCCTATCTGAATGACTCAGAAACCCAGGAAAGGGGAGTTAAAATAAAGAAATCCAAGGGGGAGTATGCTCCCTGACTCCCCTAGAAGCTTGCACCTTCGGCGCTCGTTTAGCTAGGAAATCGGTCAGTATTTATCCTAGATCCGTGCGTGAAAAGAGTACCAGAGGTGTTCATTTTCTGCAATGCTTTGAAGTCTTGGGCTCTGATTCCAGCCAGGGTCCGCCCAGAATGTACACTGAATCGGCTAGCTGAGTTTACGATACAACTGTTCAGTCCATCCACAATCGATGGCTGAATCCATAAAGTTGGCATCAATTAATCGATTTTATTGAAAATCGATGGTTGCTCGAATTATTACAGTAATAAAAGTCATCGCTCGATCTCCCATTTCCAATATCAATCGATCAGTTGACATCAGTTGACATTGATTGATATCAATTTCATCGATTTTATTGATTAAGCATACCGGGAAAAAAGGGAGATGGAGATTAAAGGCAATGAAAAACATTGAAAGCATAAATGAGAGAAAATTACAGATAATCCCACCACTTACTGGGTAAACTCAGAATCACTTGTTGCGGCGATATGGCTTTGAGCTGCTAACAACCCCACCTTTGCAACAGTAAAAAGCACAATTGCAGTGAAAAAGCCAATGAGACGTTTTTCTGCACATTCACTGCCTCCCACGGCCGCGCATCCTTTGCGATTCATTTCGGTCAATTTATTTTTATCTCTCTTCTTGCTAATGTCGAGATCTTTCAAGAAAACACCGATAGCTTGGATGAACTTTACAGTTTTTACTCCATTCGGCAAATTGTCTAAATTTTGCAGCATCTGGTACTTGGAGCAGGTCATGATGCAGTCCGAGTCTCCCTTGGCCAGCAGACCGGCTAGAAATTTAACATCCTTGTGTTCGCAGACTGCGATTTTCTCCTCGTTACATATCCCAACGAACGTCTCATAAAAATTTAGCTCTAACTGTCTTCTCTCCGCTGGGGTCATCTTTTTGAAGCTCTCAACTTCTTGGACAGGATTTTTGGGTTTGTTTGGAAGCTCAAATTTGCTCAATTCTTCATTCTTTATCTCAAGAACATCCGCTTGCAGTTGGGATTTGGTACCCTGTAGGACAGAAAAAAACATACCAAATACATATAAAGTTAGTTTAAGTTCAGAAATGTACTAAAACAAACCATAAACTTCGTCCTGTAACGGGAAAGGGTTCTAAAATAGACATTTCATATACATTTTTCACAGGTAAGCTTAGTGTGGTCAGAGGAAATTTCCTAAAATCGAACACGAACCAGAGACCGTGATACACAATAACGGTGACAACATCACCATCATGTGGGACATGCCAGTCAATACTGATAGAACTATAACAGCGAACAGACCAGATATCATCGTTAAAGATTCAGTGAATTCCACCTGCAAACTTATTGATATGACTGTTCCATCAGATAGAAACATCGCACTGAAGGAAACTGAAAAAAAATGCAAGTACAAAGACCTAGAACTAGAAATACAGAGAATGTGGCATATGAAAACCGTAGTGATCCCTGTGGTTGTTGGTGCGCTTGGTACAGTGAAGAAGGGTATGGTAGAAAACATCAAGAAAGTATCAGAGCGAGCTAGTATGACAGAGATTCAAAAGATCTGCATGCTGGGATCTGCACGAATCCTTAGAAAGGTACTCAGTGTATGAACAGAATGATTGACTTGAGTGACTGACGCTTTAGCTGCGAGTTTTTTGTGACTTTTCGCTGCTTTGTTGCGGACGACAAGAAGAGCCCACAGCCTAATCTTGACTTTGTCAGCGGCACTTTATTAACTGTATAGTGAGATTTTTCTCGATCTATGCACACTCCTGACGTTCCCATGTTCTTCCGACTAATATTCATGATATGTGGCCTCGAAGGTCCTGGTGTTGAGTTTGAGGTCCGAGTGATGTCATGGTAATCACGTGAATACACGTGCAAGTGACGCAACAATCAGTATTACACAAGCACTGTCCTAAATGTAAGATTTTGGAATCTATTTACCCGGGGTAATGAAAGTAGAGCCTGATCTCAGCGTAGTGCGGGACAAGTTTTCGGTAAGATATGAGTGTTAATAAAGTCTAGAAATCAATGTCAGTTTATTCAGGTTTTACAACAGTGCATGGTTTTCACATGTTTCTAAGCATGTTACGTCACGCCACTTGTCATTCGAGTGAAAGCTTCAATAAGCTTTAAACTCCAGTGGCAATTTAAGCTGTTTCATTATTTTCTGTTGCATATCAACGGCCTTTGGCCATTGGAAACGAATTGAATATTCGATTGAATTTAAATAAGATTTCGTGCAGTCATACACTGTAAACATTCATTACTTGTGTCTCGAATTACTGTTTCAATGTATCTTCGCCAGCGAATACAGCCTCGCTCCTTACCATTCGCAGGCTATTCGTGTCTAAGCAAATGTGAATAAAATCGTTGAATTAATTGTTACTCTGGTTTACTTTGTTGTTGAATCCAGTTTTCACGATCGGCAGTGATATCCTTTTGTTGACCCTGGAACTAAAAGGGCTTACACTTTCCAAAAGCGGTTTTCATCAGTCACATCTTCGGCCGCATGTCCTAGCCAACTGTTACTGTTAGTTTAGGTAACCGTTTGTTTGTTCAGTTCGTTTTTATTCTGAATCAGTGAGCTTTTCATAAGATAAGAACTCAGTACGGGATTAAGAAATTATACACCATTTTGTTGCGTTAATTTGTGTAGTGTAGCTCTTAGTAGTAGCTCTCAATTTCAGAACGCTAACTTAATAGCGGAGCTCCAAGCGCGCGAACCGCGCGCGAGCGGAGCCCCATAGCGAAGTAAATCTACCCATTCCAGAAAATTTGTGATCACGTGACCGTACACGCCCGTCCGTCCGAACTGCAGGCAAACCAATGTTCAATCTCATACTTTCTAGCTAGTTTAGGAGCACAGGGAAACTGTTAATGCACACATGTTGTACATCAATGTTGTGATCAATTTACAGCTGTCAAAACAGGGTATCCGCTGACCAGTATCAACTGACGGCATCGCGGGCTCAGAATGTAGCTTGTTTACTTTCACAGCTGAAGCTGACAGAGTTTTATGTCAACTTGTGATGTTTTTAACTGTCTTTTTCTACTGGATGTACAAAATGAAATTAATTCAGCTGCTATCAGGAGTCTTCTGTTATTCATGGCTAGTTTTTTGGGGGGTTTTTGGTTGAGAAATCCTTCGCTTGTCAAAGTCGGAAATCCAATTTCAGATGGCATAGTTATGGTTTTTCACCTTGCTTGATGCGTAAGAGGGTTGAGTCTGAAGCGATACTGGCCTTACTTGATAGCTTTCAGGAGCTGCATTGCGAATGGAAAGCCTGAGTAACTATTGTGTTTGATGTTTTAATGAAGTCGAGCGAAGTTAATGCGACTATTTAGTTTATGCACGTTTGTAAGATTTAAGACAATGATATGACCGAGTATCAGGTTTGAAACAAGCTTACAGAACTTGAACAAGCCTTTAGACATTTTCTTACCGCAAATAGAAAGAAAACGTTCCAAATATTTTTTAGTTACAATTCTAGCTGAAAAAGAATAAAGCTTTAAGCGATTTTCTTGCCTCGAGTTCATCTTTGAAAAACTGGCGAACACCGGGAAGGGAGCTTAAAACACAAACTTAAGCTTTAAGCTTGAAGACTCAGGATTTTTAGAGACACTTTGACACTGGTCTTCGTAAATGAAAATTGATTTCTCTGTATATGTTTCACCGAATCATATTTCTTTTATTGATTGTTAGTAGTCTCTCTTGTAATTTTAATCGCTGTGCCGTTTGTTTTCAGTCGTTCATGAACATCGCTTGCAGGAGTACTCAAAATGCCGCGCGTATCAAATGCTTTTGAAGATTACACATCGACAAAACCATTGAAAAAAAAAAAAACTTAATAAATTCTTTATTATGTTGAGGCGTAACTCTATTAATGTTCATTCAAACGCTCGACCACAGTTCGCACTGCAAAAGTGAGAACCGGCTGGCCGCATAGGTGATTTTAGAATTTTTTTAACGGTTTCGCTAAAAGCCTACGCTTGCTCCGATCGTCCTGAATATTGAATGAGTGCAATTTGTATTGCCAAATTGTAAATTACTACATTGAAAGGTTGGTTTACACCCCCCACCCCCTAGATTTGTTGTCAAGATTTAATTTGTAAAGTAAACTTGCCGAACGCAAAAAATTCGGCCTTATTTGTTTTCCAAGAATTTGCTTTCCAAGCCTAATCTACTGTGATCAAGAGCCATTATGGCTCTTAAATGTGATCGAAGATGATTGCTATTTTTTTGGGTGTACATATGAGGCTGTCAACTCGATGTAAGATTTGGTTCACTGGCTTGGACTGTTTGCAAATTATTTTTCTCTAAAATCTCTTAGCCTTTCACTCAAAAGTCACGTGAACGTGCTCGAAAGTTAACTGATTTGAGGAACACAAGTTTATTGTTTGATTTAAATCATAAATTTATTAATGATAGCTTCGATTTTAACCCTGGGTAAATCTATATATTATAATCTTAGCAAAATTTCATTCGCTTCTATTTGAGTATCAGTATTTGAGAAATGACGAGAGTTAACGGGGCCCGGCAACGTCACTAGACATTTTCTTAAAATTGACATACGCGCAATTAATCTTTATAACTCCGCCACAGCAAAACATTCAAAATCGTCTAGGCTTACAACAGAATCTAGCCCAACGAAGAAAAGGCAGTATATGAGCGCAATTTTATGATAATGTAGCATCAGTCCTGTCTTAAAGAATAAGAAACTGTTTCTTTACCTGCACATTTCCCTTCACGGAATTCAAGAACACGAGGACGACACTAATAAATATCCACGATAGCCAGAACATCTGAAAGATAAGTGAGTGATATATAGTGCCTCAGAAATCAACACATTATAGAGATTTATAGAGATATATAGAGATAGATAAATAGACACACAGATAACATTTTTACCCTTAAATGAATAGTCTTGGGTTATAGAAAAAATGTAGTAAAACAAAAAACTCACTGAAGTGCTTATTGCATGAGCATGGTAAGATTTCAAGTAACATTTCTGAATCAGAAATGTCTATTTTTCCCAAAATTTTTTTTTTTTCTAAGTACGACTAAAGCCATGAACGAACTTTGATTGTATACTGATATAGTCAGTTATATCTATTTAAGTACAGATATAGAATTCTTCTTTTATACGACTAAACCCATGAACGAACTTTGATTGTATACTGATATGGTCAGTTATATCTATTTAAATACAGATATAGAATTCGTATAAACATAACAACTTTCTTTAATTTTCCAGACATGTTTCGACGGTACATCCGTCATCTTCAGTGTTACATATTTTGAAATCGCCGTTGAATTTAAAGCGCGCGCGATCTTACAAAGTTCGTTACATTGCGTTGTCAATATTGCGTACTAAAACAAAGTTAAATGAGTGACGCTTAGTTCTTTACAGGGAGAGAGTCAGGTTAATGTGTTTCACCTGCTGGTTGAGATCGGGCTTCTCCCATTTTATAAACATGGATTCCTTAAGCTTCACTTGGTACTTAGTGGCTGCAGAGTCCAGGATCTCGAAGCAATCCGGTGTGCAGGATGCTCTACAAAACTCTGAACCCTGCAGATGTTTAAAAACGTTCGAAGACCTGTCTGAAAGTAAGTGCTCGCGCACTCGTGTGGAGAAGTGTCGGCTGGTTTCACCAACATAACAAGCATTACAACTTGCACACGAAAATTTATAGACCACACGCGTGCGTAGCCCCTCAGGGACAGCATCTTTCACATTAAAAAGATTCCTGACTTTGAAAGTAGTAAAGACTAACCTTAAATCAATAGGTTTACATAACCGGTTAGCAAGTTTGCGTATACTCCTCTGTGCCGTGACTGAGAAGTGCCCAACGTAAGGGATTTTGAAGAAGAACTTAGGCGTTTCCTGGGGCTCGACTCCTGAATAGGGCTGTGTTTTCCCTCCCTTGACTGCTGTCTGAATATATTTAGAAATATATTTGTTGATAAGGTTTTCAGGGAAGAGATTCCTCCGCAGAATGACAGACAATTTTTGAAGGTCAGTATGGAACCCCATCCAAGTG